GGTCAACAGGCTCACTGTATGATAGTATGTCGCACTTAGAGTGTCACCTTTATCGTTCCTGAATCAACAATATACACTCAGCACCTTCTTGGTTCAAGAGGTTAATAATCAAGCAGATGGGGCAGCAAATCCAGGAAGCCAGTATATACTGATGGAAATGAAAGATACTTATCTAATCTTGTAATAAAAAAAATTTCTGATAAAAATCTTTCAATACCAAATGATGGTCAAAATTAACCGTCTTTCTAATGTCAATGCTGGACTGTAGAGCCCCAAGGCAATTTTTATATTTTGAACTACAAAGGAATATTGGGTATTCATATATCTATTAGGTCAACCTAATATTCTTACTATATAAAGGATTTATTAGGGTGTGTTTTGTGTGAGGCACAAAGATGCGTGAAATCACCATGGTAATCTTGTTCTCCAAGATTAGGAAAACTTGCAATAGCAAGTGGATGTAGCTGTTACTTTGATAATGGAGCCACTTCAGATTTTTGTGTGCTTTGCTTTTTTTTATTTTTTTTTATGTCTCTTATAAATATGGACTTAACAGCTCCCAAACTCCTTAGTCAGAGCACTGTCAGTGCTCCTATACTTACTCCATAACCAGTAAATATGTCCATTCGAAGTAAATGGAAACTATATAGTGCTTGGTAGTAGTAACAGTGCAACACAAAGCTATCTCCCAGAACAGGGAATCATACAAAAATTTCATTCAGCCATTTATTGAAACCACTCACAGAGACAATGAAGCAATAAGATCTGCATTTGTAAAGCTTGCTCCAAAGTTGCATTTGGTAAGAGCTCCTTCCTTGGTGTCAAATGACACATCAGTCCCCACAGCAAGATTATTATTTCCCAGTACACCAGAAAAGTTTACAATGGGGTTAGCAGTCAAACCGATGCTGGAGCTTATTCCAGCATAGTCGTGCAAGTATTGAAGTTCCAGCTGTCATTGACAAATGATGAAAAGGAATTACACATCAAGTTGCACTTCAATACAAGACACAGCTAAGATATGCCAAGCAACAGAATTCTCAGTTTAATAATAATCAATTAAGAAAATACTTGCCTTTCCCGACCTTTGATCAGGAACTCGGAAACTTAAAATTGTCTTCAACCCAGGAGCAGGCTCATCAATTGTGACAGTGGTGAAGAGCTGGCATTGGTTTCATAAATTAGTTATACACAATGGAACAGAAATATATCCATTCAGCATCATCCAATAATTTGTATATGGGAATTGAGATTAAAAAATAAAAAAAATTCTAGCTTCTAAACAGATAACAGAAAATAATACTGAGAGAGAGTCCATACATTGGAGTTTGTGTCTACTTTAACATCAGTAGTGACATTCTTGTGCTTCAACTGAGTATTGACATCAGCCAGAAACAGTTCACCTTTCTTTGTTCCTGAGGAAGTGATACTCTGCAACAAGAGAGGAAAAAAATAAAAAATAAAATAAAAGAATAAAAATTGGTGTTAGGTTTACTACAGCCAACAATTTTGATAAACACGAAAATCCACTCAAAACTGACTTAGATATCAACTAATTAGAAGAACAAAAGTAGAAATGTGACAAAAATTAAGGACTAAAATAAATAAGGGGAAAATAGAACACAGAACAAAAAATTTCCAAAGGTTCAGCCAAGAAAAGGCCGACTTCTCTATTGATCACAACCTGCACTAAATTTTGATTCAAGTTACATCATCAAAACAAATTCTCAATCAGCACTCGAGAAACAGTGTTTTACCCAATACAAGTAAACTGTCTTACTACACTTTCCTGAGAAAAACTACAGATCGACTAGAACAGGGAAATTGCGAGAGGACAAAAAATGAGCAAGATAAACATTTTCTTGAGAGTACGTGGAAACAGCAAATGTAAAACAGAAAATTATATGGCTTTGCAGTTGCTGGAGAAGTTATGTGGCAGTCCCTCTTCCATGTGGATAAGTCCTTACTTTTAATGTTAACAAAGAGAAGGTGCAAGGCTACATGAAAAATATTGTGTTTTGCTGGTTGTGATACAAGTTTCAATAACTAGCTTCAAGGTACTAATAAAAATGTGAAAAAATAAATATAAATCCATAATGAAATTATCCTTCAAAATCCACAAACAATATTGGCCATAAACTCTAGGAAACGCTAGAAATACTAAATTGGCTCTAATCATTACACAAATCCACATAGATCTAACAAGATTTTATTCCAGGAAAAAAAAAACTATTGGACAAAAACCCACATAAACTGAACAAAATTTCTATTCTAGGAAAAGAAAAAAAAGGAAAAAAAAGAAAGAAGAATAATCAGCTAGGAACTCTATGCAAACCAAAATAGACTCAACGATATTCTATTCTAGAAAACAGTAAGCAAAAGGGTCTCATAAGTGCAAGATTGGTAATATATCCTCAAGAGCTCCAACAAAGTAAAATAATAAGAAAAAGACCAAAAAAAAATCCTATGTTCCATCTCCAAGTTTAACAATAATTACTAATCTAGAACTACCGCATCTAATTAGAAAAGGGGACAGATTTATTTATTCAAATAATCTTCAACATGCTGCATAGGCCAAATTCATTTTCTCATTAAAGGCCCATGGAAAATTATCACTGAATACAAGGGATTGAACTCAGTATCTCTGTCTGCTCTGATAAGTGTTGAGCTTACCTTGCTAAAGATGGAACAAATCTATTTATTTATTTAAATTGTCGACAATAATATGATAGATTACAAATCTATTTATTTATTTAAATTGTCAACAACAATATGATAGATTACAAATCTATTTATTTATTTAAATTGTCGACAACAATATGATAGATTCCAAATCAAATTTACATATGTAAGCAGAGGACCAAAACGAGCTGTTTAACATTACAGGTTCCGATGGGATGCAGTGGATTATTGGATTGTAGAACATTATGTAATTTATGTTAGTAGTTAAATGGGAAGTGGGTAGTGTGTAGTTTTTGTATTATTAAATGTCAAGCAAGTCGGAGGTTGGTCTCTGTGTTGTGCATCTTGTCGATTTGGGAATTAAAGGTCGCGGGGAGAGTTTCCAGCCTCTTGAGTCTCGAAAGCTGATTTTCCTCATATTTTCATTTCTTTTGAGTTGCAACAATTTATTAAATTCAGTACCAAGTAAATTCAAAAGATATATTGTCAAGTGTCCTATATCTGCTTCACAATTCTTGTTTATAAGTACCAGATTCTTTTGAATCTGCTTCTGAAATCCTGCAAAATGAGGTTCTATCACAATAACATGCAGACTGTGAAACCCATAAAAGTTGCCGATTTTATCCGGATATTTGTTTTCAAAAACTCCCTTTACCGAAAAAAAAAAAAAAGAATTACTAATATTGAAAATGTCAGCGAAACAGATAGATTATACAAATTCCATTTCCTAAAAATATGTAAAATTCACTGAAGAAACTAGCACAATAGTAGCTTCCAACAAATTTTCACTTACTAGTCAGCTTATTAGTTACACAAAGTTTTATTAATCAACAGACAATAAAAATAAAAAATCAGAAACTCGTAAAAACAAATGCAATAAATAATAAACATTTCTGACAGTATATGTACATCAACAATGCTTCCAGAATCGAACACGGGCACTAATCACAATATAACAAAAACAGCAAAATAATTATAAAAAAAACTTGCCACTCCAGTGGGCGAGTAGGTAGTGATGGTGAACTTCTGGTCGCACTGGTAATCCCTGTATAAAAGATCTATTTCCACCAATTAAACACAAATAAAAATAATTATTACTCTAATCAGCAATAGAGCACAAAAACTTAATTAAAATCAACAAATTATAAGATTAAAATGAAACCTCTAGCTCTTTTGCCAATATCAGAGTAAAGTCCCGGACCCTTGCCCATTATCCTAAAGCCTAAAAATTGAAAAATCAAAATATAGAGAGGGAAAGTGGGCGTATGTGTGGCCTTGGACTATGAGAGCTGTCTATGTAAATGGTGGAAAAGCCCTAATTTGCAACCTCAGGTGCGTTTTTGGGGAAATATTAGCCGTTGATGGGGGCTTGCTGGTCGCGGTTGTACTTGAGCCGTTGATCTACGTGATTGAGGGAGATGGATTTCAAAGGGTATTTTGGGGATTCAAAGGATAGGTGTCGCGTGGACGTAGTTTTGGCTGCGGAATTTCAATTTCAAAATTTGATTTATTTCTGAATAAGACAACGGCAAGCAGGTATATTGTTCCAGGATATTACATTTGGTAAAAACGCTTAAAAAAGCCAAATACTGATTTAAATATGAGAATTTCATATTTATTAATAACAAGACATATTAAATAAGAGCATATATTAAAAAATTAAGAAATCCATTATACCCTCAACAAAAAAAGTAACATAATTTGGGGAAAATGAAAAAGAAAGTAATATTATCTTTAGAGGACAGAAGAAGTTGTAATACTGAAGAATGATGAATGGTGAAAGGGTAATTGGCACAAAACGTCCTTACCTTTCAAGTCTATTGTGGAAAACGTCCCTACTTTTCATTTTTTGACATTTTTGCCCTCATTTCAACCTTTCTTTGCGCTGGACGTCCTTCCGTCCATATTCCATCAGTTTTTCAATTATTAAATACAAAAATACCTTTTTCTTTCCATAAACAAGGGTAAAATTGTCCTCACCCACTTCACCCCTTTTTTCCGCCATCAACTTAGTCCATAAGTAACAATAGCAGCAACATGAATCTGAAAATACTTTAAATGATTAAGTTAAATAAAGAAAAAATATCGTGAACACATTATATTTCACAATTCCACAACTACTGTTGCTGTCATCTTGTGTCACTGGAAAAATTTAGAAAGACATATTAAATGGGTAGTCAATTTATAATGAGTCAATTTAAAATGAGTCATTCATCTTCTCCATTGAACCAAAAAGAGCCATTCACCATTTTGACTCATTATAAATTGACTACCCATTTAATATGTCTTTCTAAAATTTTCCAGTGACACCAGATGACAGCAATAGTAGTTGTGGAATTGTGAAATATAATGTGTTCACGATATTTTTTCTTTATTTAACTTAATCATTTAAAGTATTTTCAGATTCATGTCGCTGCTACTATTACTTATGGACTAAGTTGATGGCGGGAAAAAGGGGTGAAGTGGGTGAGGACAATTTTATCCTTGTTTATGGAAAGAAAAAAGTATTTTTGTATTTAATTAACGGAAAAACTGATGGAATATGGACGGAAGGACGTCCAGCGCAAAGAAAGGTTGAAATGAGGGCAAAAATGCCAAAAAATGAAAGGTATGGACGTTTTCCACAATAGACTTGAAAGGTAGGGACGTTTTGTGCCAATTACCCTTTAATTAACGGAAAAATTAACGGAATATGGACGGAAGGACGTCCAGCACAAAGAAAGATTGAAATGAGGGCAAAAATGCCAAAAAATGAAAGGTAGGGACGTTTTCCACAATAGACTTGAAAGGTAAGGACGTTTTGTGCCAATTACCCAATGGTGAAACTACGGATGGCGGTGGCTAGACCCTTAAACACTCGAGTTCAATTGGACCATTTGGCTCGTGTGGACACAGGTGAATTCATTTTTATTTTTTAAATTAACAAAATAAACAAAAAAGAAATGGGTATATGTCCTTGCCTTTCCATTTGACTTTCTCTTCCCTGGTGACCAGTAATGCTCTGTGACAACCTATTAATTGTTGTCGTCTGGCCTCTCTTGCTGACTCGATACCACCTAGTGTGGTCAGCACCTAACATATTCGGGGGTAAAGAAAGAGCTTGCTCGATGCGGTCCCTCAACTCGTCTCGATATGAGTCCAAGTAATTTATGTATTAAGACGAGTTGAACCGATGAATGGCTCAACCCTTTTGCCATCACGAGGTGAAACAAAATTATGCTTTGAGGTGAAATGCTCGGCTACAATTGAAGACTAGTCTAGGGCCCTAAGTTGCAGTTAGGGCTATGTGCAGTTCTTTCTAATGAGGACATCATCTATTTTATTTCTAGTTGGATTTTATTTTATTTGTGAGCTTTATTTTTGTTTTGGATTTTTTTTTATGTAATTGGGCTTGTATTGACCCAAGCCCATTTTAGTTAGGGTTTTGTCCTTAATATGAATTATTGAAATTGGTTGTGGCGTATCATTTCTCTTCCTTCCTCTTTTCCCTTGAATTTCTTCTTCTTCTCCGATTTCTTTCCCCCATTCTCTCCTATTTTTCCCCTTTTTTTGCTGTACTCTTTTTTTATTCTACATCAAATTTAATATCAGAGCCGAATCTTGGATAATTTCTCTCCTACAATCTAAAATTTCATCCTATTTCCTTTCCAAAATTTGTTGGAAAGCGTGATTTCATTTTTCCAGTTTTCTTTGCAATTGAAAAGAAGGAAAAAAAATATTGTTCTTCGTACTATTCATAGGTACTATTTACACCCAAAAAAATTCAATTTTAATATATATGGGCCTGTTTGAGAGCGATTTTTCCTTCCAAAAAATTGATTTTTTGACCGTTATTTTACTATTCCAGCTGTCATATTTAACTTCTTCTTTCACAGGTGGACCCCACTTTTCTCATAATGGTCAAAAAATCAATTCTCAAAATCATTCCCAAACAGGCTCTATATATATAATTGGCAACCCTAAAGCCAGCTCACTATTTTCAAGAAGCCCAAAGTCCCCTATGTCAACCCAACACCATGTGGTCCTAACTACAATTAGCCAAACCCCATATCCATTATAAATTATGTAGCCCAAGCCCAAATACCTACAAATTCATCACTTAACCTAACTACCCAATCTCATTATCATTTAACCCAATTCAACCTAGCCCATTACCCAACCTAAATCATAGCAAGCATTCCCTTCAAATCCAAATCTCTTAACACGGCGGCCATCACACACCCAATACCCAATTAACCCACATCCCCTTCTAGAACTCAACCATCGTCTCCATCATTACGCCACCACACTAACCTGCAACTCCCAGCATCAACCACCTCGCATAAATCACTCGTTGTTGACCACCATCGCCGTGCGTACCTTACTTCCTATCTACTGCGACCACAGCCCATCCAGTCTCCAACCCCCAACTACAAACCCGATCTCTAACTTCATCTCCTCTAACCTTAAACCTACTCCCTATCGTCGGTAAAACGTTACAAGTCCCACCACACTCAACCCGTCTTCAACCTCAGCAACTCAAACTCGTCTTTGTCTAAATCAGTCCTCCTCCCAGTCGCCGTTGCCCCAAGTTCCACCTTCTCCAACCACCCTCCACCGCCATTACAACCTTCATCACCCCTATCAACTCGACCACAAGAAACCTACCTTCCCTAATCTTCACTTCTCCTTTGACCCATCGCCCTCTTCGTTTCCCAACTGGCTCCTGCCAGCCATGCAACCTTTCCTGCTGGCATCCATTCTATTACGGCTGAAGGCATCGTCGTCGCCACCATTCGACCTTTTGTAACTTTTCGACTTCCTCAACAGTGAATTTCAAAATCTGGGGAGGAACGTTTCTCGTCTAATAGGATTTTGTTGTCTGGATTCTGTACAATTTGCACTCTTGATTGATTTTCAGTAAGATCCATGTTGCTAAAAGTTTCAATTGCCAACAATCCTTAAGGCCAGTCACTGAATTCTTCTTTCGGGTCGTCGCCACCTCCACCAACAGAACTAGAACCATCAGCTACTCGAGAGTTTTATACTACAGTATTCCAAGACGTGCCAACATAACAATCGTAATTGGGACACATTTTGACTCTCTTGAGTCTCGTGAGTACATCGCCAGCAACTTCAAGCTTTCGTGGGTACCACCTCTGCAATTCGACAACAGGGAGTCCTCGTTCTCTGTTTATTGTTGGTCTATACGACTGTTCATTTAATATTGCATCATTTAAATTCTTTGGGGTAATTAGCACAAAACATCCCTACCTTTTGATGTTTTTGTGGAAAACGTCCCTACCTTTCATTTTTTGGCGGATTACACCCTTACCTTTACCTTTTTTTGCGCAAAACGTCCTTCTGTCAACCCTCCGTTAAATGTTCCGTCAAATTAAAAAGGTAATTAGCACAAAAGGTCCCTACCTTTCAGAGTTATTGTGCAAAACGTCCCTACCTTTTATTTTTTAGCATAATTAGCAGAAAAGGTCCCTACCTTTCAATATTATTGTACAAAACGTCCCTACCTTTCATTTTTAGCATTTTTACCCCTACATTTCACCTTTCATTGTGCAAAAGGTCATTTTCATCCATTTTTTTCAATAAAATGACGATTTTACCCTCCTATTGAAATAAAATAAAAAGAAAAGAAAAAAATAATTAATTAATTGCAATCATAGTTCTAAATCTTTCAAAACATTACAGATAAATCATAAATTCTCAACCACCACCATTTTCACAACCTATCAAGCTGTCAACTATAAATCCACATAATACCACCTTTCGACCACCATGCCCATCGGACTCCACCACCGTAAATGTGGTTGTTTCGGACAGATTGGTGACCAATACTATGGAGGAGGATATTGGGGAGAGTGAGGCGACACTGGTGGTGGTGGAGTCCGATAGGTGTTGTGGTCGAAAAGTGGTGCTATATGGATCTATAGGTGGTGGCTTGGTGGGGTTGTTAAAGTGGCGATAGTGGAGAATTTAGGATTTATCTGTAATGTTTTGAAAAATTTAGAACTATGATTGCAATTAATTAATTATTATTTTTCTTTTCTTTTTGTTTTATTTCAATCGGAGGGTAAAATCATCATTTTATTGAAAAAATGGATGAAAAGGACCTTTTGCGCAATGAAAGGTGAAATGTAGGGGTAAAATGCTAAAAATGAAAGGTAGGGACGTTTTGCACAATAATATTGAAAGGTAGGGACCTTTTCTGCTAATTATGCTAAAAAATAAAAGGTAGGGACGTTTTGCACAATAATATTGAAAGGTAGGGACCTTTTCTGCTAATTATGCTAAAAAATAAAAGGTAGGGACGTTTTGCACA